CCATCGACGTCCGTCGCGTTCATGTCTGCATCTGAATGATTACTAAATAAGCAAAACAAACAACACAAAATGCACAAAAGCGGGAAATAATAATAAAAGCCGTTCCTTTAAAAATATGTAAACTAGTTATGCACTAAGATGGAACGGCTGGGATAAGAAACGTTGTACGGCAACATGTAAACAAAATGTATTAGCCGAACAAACCCTTTAAAGCCTATCTTGATGAACAGCACATATCAGTGCAGTTTTCCGCTTCTTAATATATTTTTGTTAGCACAACAAGGGCAACCGAATCCTTCAAAATAGCAATGAACTCACTCGTGGGTAGCCCCTTAACCTGCAGGGGATTGAAGACATCATGACAAAAAACTGCCGTACGACTTTTCATAACATCTACATTATCTTAGCCTGATTTAATGCATAAAACATGAAAAAAAATTTCATTCATATTCTTGAAAATTTCACATTTCGATTGCTTTACTTATGATTTTTAGTAAAAACTTCTCAACATCACATGCTTACATTTTATCCAGAACGTAAAAGAGAGTAGACGAGCTGAGCCCACTGCGCGAGTAACCAACTGTTGAAACGTCAAGAGGACGGAACGTTGGCAACAAACAACTCTTAAAGCTCATGACGAATTCAGTATTTTATGAGCCAGTAAGATCTCTGACAATAACGCCAAATTACATGGAAAGATTCCAGCGCTTCTAATGATTATGCATAAATTACAGTAAAATGATGAAAATGTAGCCAGCATTTATAAACCGTGATTACATCATTGACTATCCCATGGAAAAGTATACCGAGGTCTGACCGAAGACGGAGAATAACACAAGTTGGGTCCAACATCAACCCATTCTCCAATAAACAGAAAATCTAAAGGATGCAATCACAGAAAGGAGGAAACCATTGCAATAAAAGAGTTCATGCTGCTAAGCTCATAAGCGTAAAATCTCGCCATCAGATCTTTTGTGAGTCACGTCAAAGTACTAAGTTATAGCAACCTCATCTTTTTTGCAAACAAAAATTCACGAACTCCGGACCACCTGAGGTTCGAAATCCAAGCGGATGATAATTACAACAAGCGTAATTTATCATATAGGTAGTAAAACAGTTAAACTAGAGTGTACAATATCTTTTGAATAAAACTAACCATATTTCGTTATCATTAACATAGGTTAAACGGATTCAGGGAACGTGCTACCGTTTTTGACTATAGAATGAAATTTTCAACTATCTCACATATACCCAATATAAGCAAAATTTGAAGGAGTGGAATGTTCTTATTTCGAACCAGAATTCTACTAACTTTACCTGATAGATATGAAACATCAAAGAGTTATTGCAGTGGGAGCCACGTAGAACTGATCGCATGAGTTATTTTAGTTTGTGATTGTCTCATTGGGTTCCACCTCGTACAAAAATAGCTAAGCGCGAAATGCAGACCATTGACGTTGCACATTCCCGTGAAACATCGGTATTCCGCTTCCATTGTCAGTGATGTTTTAGTAGCATGAAAGCTAATCGCGTATACTCGTCCCGTAATTGAAACATTATGATAACTTTGGTTTATAGTAGGTTCCACTCACTACCGGTCGTGAACCGCCCTTGAAACGGAGAGACAGATCTGGGGCCTCTTGCACTGTCCCCAAATATGATGACTGTCTTGGCAAGTTAAGTCGAACGGTGCGAACTTGTTTTGGCTTAAGAACCAAAAATATTTTCCAAAACTCGACTGTCCTTCGTAACATTCTTTTAACTGGTAGGAAGCCAGCTCAAACAAAGGTGAAACAGAGAGAGATGTGAAAGTGCTTACAGACGTGACGCATTCTATTAATCATTACATTAATGTATCTGATTCTTAGACGCTAAGGATTTGAATTCAGCATCTGTTCTTCATTTACAGAACATTTTACTTAGATTTGCCATGAAACTTGCCTTCCATGCGTCAGAGAACTGTTTTTGTTCCGATAATAAATAGTCTCGTAAAGTTTTATCCGACAGTGTGCATATCAGGTCGTTCAATAGGATTTTTATTAGTCTCTCCCTATTCATATGGCAGATTTCATTGTCAGTGCTACATAGTGCTCGCTTTGATCCTCTCTTGAGAAGATCGCCAGCTTTAGTCAATTTAGCGCCTGGTTTCTAATCATCACTACCTCATCCTAGCCTAATGCCTCAGCTGTAGTAAAATCATTTACAATTTCTAAACACTGAACGGAAAGAACATATTGATGGTATCATAAAAGCCACCACTTGGCTCTTAGAACTGGAGCTTTGCATAGAAAACTGCCATAAATGCAGTGCTAATTACGCTTATCAAAACGCTCCTGCGTCAGTTTTCCACTAGAAGAAATCAGAACAAGAATCTGCTTCCTGATCAGAAACCCAAATTGAACAACTTCAAGTAACGGCTGCACTGCCCTTACTACTCACCCTCAGAAAGAAACCGTTGATCGCAGCGTAGCTCATTTTCCAAAATCGATTAGTGGAAGAGCGAAAATAAGGAATATGTCACTAGCTGAATAATCGCACATCTAGAGAAGCGCCGGTGCGAAGTAACGCGTAACTGAACGATGACTGATTGCAGACATGTGACCGGGGTTACGGCCATTCCCAAAATAAAATATCCGTATTGGTCAAGAAAGGCATGACTTTGCCCTAAGGATGGCGAAGTTCCAAGAAATGACTCAGAACGTAAACCTGAATGTTAATCAATGAATTGGTATGGCAAATGAAGTCTACACTCTACTGAATGAATGATGGGGTTCCGCAAGCAAATTACGTCTCATTGAGAGCGCGAAAGGGATGCCCTGTCCAAATGTACATTTACATCGAGACACGCTAGTCTCTCGTTAGAAGGTGAATAGTAAGCAAGACTTGGGATGACTAAGAAAGGCGCGTCTTCCAGAGAAAGTCTGAATTTTTAATTAGGCATTTTAAGTTAATTATTTTCGCGAATAGCATGGATTGACGAGTGCTCGATCAACGGCCGTTCCGGAACAATATTTGCAAAAAAATCTTGCATCCGATGGCGGTAATCGCCAGCGACATTTTCACTCCCACAGACGTCTAGTGTTTCGTATTTGACAACTAATTAACCTACACTTTGAATCCCTTTCAAAGAACACCGCGAGACTGGTAGCAATAAAGGTTGACCGCTAATATAAAAACAATTATATCAAGCGTGACTGACACAACCGACAATATGCCACCTTGGAATGCATGAAAGTTGCGGTTCTTACACCAGATTCGAGAGCAGTCGCGCTCTTCCTCAATCTGCCTTATTAAACAAATGTAAAATATTTTAATTATTTTAATAACCTGTCGAAATTTAACCCAATAACTGAACAAAAGTCTTTATGGAGAGACTATGACAACAGTTTTCGTGTTTCTCACAGGACCGCTTCACAGGCATGATTTTTCATACATGGTGATATATCGAGCAGTACTTCACATGCAGGCCAGGGTAACAATAAATGGCAAAAAATCGAAGTCGATAAACAGAGCCAATAGATCAGCATGCGGCACGAACAGGCGGAAGAGATTTTACGAAAAGAGAGGGCCGGGTATGTGGGTGTTCCATTCCATTGAGGACGCC